TTCATTGAATAAAATTATAGCCATTTTTTTATTCTTATATCCAGCTAGAGCATAAAAGTATTCTATAAAACATGGTTTATGATAGGAATTATGACATAAATCTGATTAAAAAAATTACATAATGTATAAATCAATTGTATAGTATACCAACTACCAATACCTTAAATCTAAGCAGTATTTTTGAATTCGATAGCGCTGAAAATATTTAAAAAAAATATATTGTTAAAAAGTAGTTGATAAATTGTCATAACCTGTTTCAATTTTAAACAGTTTTATTAAAATGGTTATTATGGCAGAACAACTTTTAATTGATTGATCAGCTTAAGTGTTTGTTTGTCGTTGGTATTAAAAAGAAACTCACTCGATCAGAATTGGGTTTGTGTTTAGTAATGTGCTCTACAGCCCAGTACATCGTATGGTTTTATAGTAAACAAGACTGTATAGCGTCTGCATGAAATCGGATATCAACAGTGATGTATTTAATGTAGAGTTCGCTTGCAAATTAGTTTGTCGGCGTCCAATGAAGTCCGGCATCAAAAGCTCGCCCCGTCGATTTTTTTATGTCCCCAAACGTGCATGGATTAATATTTACGGTGACGATAAATGTATATGCCTATCTCCTATAGCTTCACATTAACCTCGTTGTCCTTTACATTTTAGTCACGTGATAGCACCGACCCGCGGATCAAAGGGTAGATTGTGGTTTTTTTTAATGTTTTTCACTCTCTCCGCACACCTTAATTTATATATCCACCGGAATAAATCTGTGGACCTAGAACCATACATTAATATTTAAAATTTAAATACTTAGTTTTACAAAAACTTTAGTGTTTTACTTACTTTTTCGATATTGTATACATGATGTTGTGTTGTGTGTACAAAAATAAATTAAAAACATTTTATGATTGACGCATACGCGAATAGTGTTGCGGTTGCCGATGATTATTATTTTTATTGATATTGTCACAGTGGTTGARCGTTTTATCGTTTTACTCGTTGAAAAACGTTTAATCGTCCAGTAATTACGACGGAAAACTTAGTTACAGATATTTACTAATATGCGGACTCGTCATCCGCTTTGTTCTCATAATTTTAGAAAATAAATACATATTCGTTCGTTAATTACTAATAAATTTAGGCTTTTTACTCTGTTGTGGAATTTAATTTACTACGTCACTTACAAGAATAGCGGACAATTTCCCCCCAATATATTTTCGATGCGGACATTTTTCCCCCATTTTTTTTTTTTTAAGTTTATTATTGAATAATATAATATTATTTATTATTTAATAAGAAATTTTTTTTTTTCATAAATATAATCAATTTATACTATTTTTTATATTATAATTATACTATAATTAACTTTATACATTTATACTATAAATTACATTTTTTTTTTCATAAATATAATGAAACGTAAACAATTTGTAATTTGTATAAAAGTAAAAATGTAAAATAGATTAAAAATTTCATTTTTTTTTTTCATAAATATAATAACAATTGTATAACAAAATGTAAAAAAATTATATAAGTATAAAAGCCTAAAAATTTCGACATAAAAATGATATATTTTGTAAAAAACATTTAATTTCTGATTCTTTTTTTATATCTAAGCACATATTTTGTAATCGTTTTTCATATTTATTTTTTTTGTAAAAAACACCGTACTTGTTTTAATTTTTAATAATTTATTAATTGCCATTGAATTTGACTTTTGTAGTGCTTCAATGAACATCCAAATATTTGGATGCTGAGTTCTTACCAAAGTTTTAAATTTATTATTGAAACCTTCACTTATATTATTTGTTCTACCTGTGTTTTTCTTTATAGCATTATGTACATTCCATAAATAAGGAGGAAATAATATTATTTAATATAAAAATAATATTTTATTAAAAAAWAAATAAATTATGCGTAGCTTTTTCAGTCTACATGAAAATTGCTTTGAATTAATTACATATCGTTACATCGAAGATGTTCAGAGTTATCAGTGTTTCGCAGTTTATTCATTTTAATGTGTAAATCCTCTTTGTCTCTACATTTTAAATTGCTTCTTACTAATTCTCGATGAATTATTCGGTTATCGTACTCTTCATGGGTATGCGTGTTTATAATTTTTAAAATGTTATATTTTATATTATTAACAAACCTAACTATATTATACAGCACTCACGGAACATTTTTCATTTGTACACCTAAAATKTATATTACTTGATTTTAACATTCGAAATTCTCTATGTTTATGCACTTTTTATCTCGACGCGTTTCAAAAACATCAGACATTTCAATATCCGCGTCACTAGTCAGTAGGGTGCTACTCCCATAATATGCGGACAACTGACATATTTCAAATTCACTTATGCGATCTACCTTGTAAGACGTAGATCGCATATTATACCTATATATATTGTAATACGCCATGTTTATATTTTCATATGGCAATGTTTCTTAGACAGTACCTATTTAATGAACCGTRCTCCCTTAAAAACGCAGTGGCATTCTCTTCACTCTTTGCGACATTCAAATAAAAATCTTTTAATTGTATAATGCTCACCATATACAGCAAACTACTAATTACTAATCATGTTTATCCTGTTATCATAAGCAACCTGTATATTATTGATAAGTAATATTAACTCCCTACCTTCATCACAAGCTACGCTTAAAGAAGGTAGGTATAAATTTAAGATATATTGTTGTATTGATGTTGATATTGTACAAAAAAAAGA